GAACAAAAACTGCTCACCCATCACATTAATGTATTCATCGCAGAGCATTTTGGAGAGTCTATCCTCCTGCGTTTGCTTTCGAAATTAAGCGAAACCTTGTTGTTTGTACACAGTTTTAGTAGCCTGAATATCATAGAGACTTGCGGGTGGTCTTTTTCACTTTGAACCACCTAGAAACTACCCAGAAACGTCCTTCCAACTATGTAGCTTATTGATTGCGCAAACTGGCTAATGAGCTAAATTGGATTGAATTTCGGCATTAATTTGGAATGTTAGGCATTAAAACTATTTTTCCTCATTTAAATTTCACTACTTTTGTCTCGGAGGCCAGTTTTAGTTTTTCACACTATAAAACTCTGGTTTCCCGTGTCCACAGGCCTAGTGTAGTTGGTGTTGCAAGGCTTGGGGTGGTTAGCGTGGAGGTTGTGTATCCACACTGCCCCGTGTCTCATCCCAGCAGTCCTGTCACGCACTTGTCAGTTCTTTAAGTGGGCAGAGGATCAATACATCACCTGCTACATTTCCTTAAGCAGTCTCACACAGACGGCGTGTTTGCGAGGGAAAGAAATAACCTCTGTGCCAGCACACAGAATATTAGCTTCTTACCACCTAAGGGTCAGCGCAAGAAGCCGCGAAAAGTAAAGGAAGACAAGGGCTAAAGAAGAGAAATCAACCACCTCCCGCTCTGCTCGGCTCGTTTCAAGTGAAAATGTAATGCCCTGTGTCAATTTGAAACTCTGGAAGAGCTACCCCTTTAGCACTTTTCCTCGGTCCAGGGGCGAAGTCGGCACTTATTAAAGGCGCGTAGTGCAGGGTCAAAAGCAGCAAGCCAGCAGCATGCGATTAAAATGTAATGAAAGGAATCTCGGTTGGAGATTTGAGGGTCCAGAGAAGGCAGAAGATTATTTTATCCTCATTGATGTGCCGTTGCATCAGACAACGTTGCTAATAGAGAATATACGCTTTAAGCTACGAAACTTTAAAACTGCATGACCATTATATGGATGGACACTGCCTTATGTGCTCATCTGAAATTAGGCATTATTCATTTTAGATTTTCATTTACATTTTAAATGTAATCATTTATCAGACGCTTTTATCCAAAGCAACTTGCAAATGAAGAGAACAATAGAAACAATCAGACCAATGAGAGAGCAACAGTGTGCAAGTGCTATGACAAGTCTCAGTTAGTCTAGCACATTACACATAGCTAGTTTTTTTTATTTTTTTAAATTGGATAGGATAGGTAAGTGTTAGTATTAATTGGTCAGGTACTGGCGAAAAAGATGTGTCTTAAGACGTTTTTTGAAAATGGTTGAGATTCCACCAGCTAGGAACAGTCCTGGAAAAGGTCTGTGAGAGTGATTTTGTGCCTCTTTAGGATGGCAACACAAGGTGTCGTTCACTTGCAGAATGCAAGCTTCTGGAGGGCGCATAGGTTTGATCTAGCGAGTTTAGGTATATTGGTGCAGCACCAATTGTTATCTTGTAGTCAAATGTCAGTACCTTGTATTTGATGCGAGCGGCTATTGGCAGCCAATGTAAATTGGAGGTGTAACGTGAGCTTTTTCGGCTCGTTAAAGACCACTCTGGATTCTGGATCAGAGGCTTGATAGTACATGCGGGAAGGCCCGATTTAATATCATATTGATATAAAGTTTATTTCTAAATTGATTTTAATATTAAAATTTTTATTAAAGGTTTGGTCTTTCGAAATGCCAGTCCTATAAAGACTAAAGAATAAATTGGCAGTTGTGCCAGAAAGTCTTAAGTTTGATAACTAGTCGGAACAGGTGCACTTACGACATGCAAGGAATAAAGTTGCAAAAAAGACACTGTGCAGAGTAAAGTTGCAATTTTGAGTAGTTACAGTTAACCTTAATTAATGCTTTTTCTTTACCATCAAGTTTTTTTATAAGCATCGACAGTAAATTTACAGTTGTGCAAACAAACAAATTAATAAATTGATTTATTTATTTAAAAAAATACATTCAATTAAATCGCAATTGTGGGAAATAAATTTGCTTTTTTAAAGACTAAACATTAAAGAATAGAGAATAAATTTACAGTAGTGCAAATAAATAATTAAACAAATAAACTTAAATTTAAAACTTAATTGAATTCATTTAAAATATCGCAATTGTGGGAAATAAATTCGCTTTTTTGTTGTTGTTTTTTTAAAGACTAAACCTAAAGCATAGAGAGTAAATGTACAATTGTACAAATAAATAAATAAATAGATAAACAGACAGATAAATAAATAAAAATCACAATTGTAGGAAATAAATGTGAAATTACAAGAAATTAAGTCAAAGAAATGATAAATAGTGGCAATTGTTAGATAAAGTAGTGTATATGTGAAACAGTTGCAATTACGAGAAATAAAGTTGCAATTGTGAGATAAAACATTGTAAAATAAAGTTGCAATTTTAGAATTTTAAAATAGTTACATTTGACGTCAATTAATGTTTTTTCCTTAACCATTAAGTATTTTAGAGACTAAATCTCTTAAGTCTCTAAAAAAAAATAAAGAGAAAATTTGCAGTTGTGCGAAAAAAATAATAATTGTGGGGCATAAATGTGTAATTATGATAAATTAAGTTGTAGTTCTGAGAAATAGTCACACTTGTTCAAGAAACATTTACAAGAAACATTTGCAATTACAAGAAATAACGTTGCAATTGTGAGATATAACGTTGCCGTTGTACAAAACAAAGCTGCAATTTTGAGAAGTAGTTACAGTTAACCTCGATTCATGGTTTTTCTTTAACCTTGAAGTTTTCTAAAGACACTTAGGCAATGAGAGCATTGATTGAGTGTTCTGAGAACACTATTTTCATATTGCAGATAAAAATGGAAATAAAATCCCAGATTAACAACATTGTAGGTGGACCCAGAGTCATATCTAGACCAGAATATCAGTAACCACATAGCACTTTAAAACCACACCTTAGCAACAACATTCTTCCATCATGGCGGCAAATTTTGCACAGACGAGCAGCACTCATGTTTTCTTCAGAAAATGTAGAACTCTAGTTTTTATTTGTAGTAGTAGAAGACGCATTTGATTTTAGACCCAGTAGCGTTTTCGTCATCATAACCACGGGGCGCTGCATGTGTTACGGCCGCATTCTCTGACACCCAGAGAGAGAGAGGGACATGGAGAAAGAAGAAGCAGGACTTAATTGGGGTTTGGGGGTATAGTGAACACTGACCTGTGGGGAGATTGGGTTTGAACCTGTCACTGGGATCTCGGTGCCGTCAGCATGGTGGCTCTGCCAGTCTCTCTTTCTCTCTCTTTCCTCACACACACACACACACACACACACACACAATCACACACTTTTCCCCTGCTGGAGACAGTTCCATAGCGCCGTGTAGACCTGCTGGCTGGCAGAATTTTTAAAGTGCATGGAGGTTTAAAGACAGAAACCCCTGGGGAGGAATCCCACCAGCTTGGAGAGAGAAAAGGGGGAGTTTGCTGTCTCTCTTTCTTTCTCTATTCCTGTCTTTCTCTCACCTTATCTCTCTTTTCTCTATCGCCGTCTGTCGTCTGTCTGCCTGGATGCCTGCCTGTCTATATCTCTGTTCTCATGCTTTCTCTCCCTTTCCTTCCTTCTGCCTCTTTCTCTCCTTTTCTTTCTCCCTCTATTTCTCGCCACATATCTCTCGCGCCCCCCCTCCCTCCTTTATCCCAGTAATGACAGAATGAAGAAATGCTTTTCACTTGCTCATCCGGAGCACCGCTTAGTTCCCACTCACAACATCTTTCTCTCTCCCTTTTCTTTTTCTCTCTTTTTCTCCCTCCTGTTCTTGTCTTGCTGTTCCCATCTAAATATTCAACTCTAACATTCACATCACCTAGTAACATTGGCTACGTTCATGCTGCAGCTGAATGTGGCCCGAATTGGATTTTTTCCCCCCTCACAGATGTGACACAGATCAGGTTTTTTATTATTGTTTTCATGGAAGCCCGTTTCAGAGTAAGAAATAAAATGTGTGGGAAAGTCATGGTAACGAAAAGTAGTCACAATTGTTCGATAAAGTAGCATGTGTAAGAAACAGCTGCAATTATGAAAAATAAAGTATAGTTGTGAGATAAAAAGACGCAATTGTGCAACATAAAGTTAAAATAATGTAACATTGTTATAGTAGTTACATAATTACAGTTATAGTTGTGAAAAATAACATTGCATTTGTACAAAATAGTTTCAATTGTGCAAAATTGAGAAAGTTTGAGAAAGTTACAGTTATGAGACATGAAGTTGCAATCATGAAAACTGGTTGCAGTTATCAGAAATAGTTGTAATTGTGAGTTATAAAGTCACAATTTTGAGAAAATTGTTATTTTTTGGAAATGGGCAACTACAGTTTTTACATGACAGTTTGAAGAACAAAAATATCAGTGAATATGGCATTTAAAATAATTCCAATCTGCCAATTATGAAAAAATAGGTTGCAGTAATGAGATATAGGGACAATTTTTAAAGTAGTTTACGATTAGCAATTATTAAATTGAAAAAGTAGCATTGATGAGAAACGGCTGCAGTTGTGCAAAATATAGTTACAATTTTGAAACGTACTGCCAAAAAAAAAAGAGGTTGTGCAAAGTAGGTTTGCAGTTGTGGAAAATAGTTGCAATTTTGTAAAATAAAATTCCAATTGTGAAAAATAGTCGTAATTGTGCAAAATGAAGTGCAATTGAGAAATAGTTACAATTAGGAGACATAAATTTGCAATCATGAGACATATTCACAATTGCCAGAAATACTCGCAATAACCAGAAATAGTTGCGATTGAGAGTTATATAATCACAATTTTGAGAAATAAAGGTGTGTGTGTGCGTGTGTATATATATATATATATATATATATATATGTGTTATGAAATTTAGAAATTCTGGCCCACTTTCATTTTAGAAATAAATTGCAATACATTTTTATTTTTATTTTTTTTCAATTAATGCGTTAATCTAACTACTAGATGTTCATTGTAATTGCATGTTTGAAAGCAACTTTGTAGACGTCCTCGGGTATTTGAAGACCCTGTATCTGTGTTGTGGTTTCACCATTTCTGGCTCTGATCGTGCACCCATACCATCAAAATCGGGCAGTTTGGCTTGGGGTATGAATGTCATCATAATGCAGAAGCTGAGTGAAGCAGCACATCCCCTGATATCTGCTGCTGCTGATGTCAGTGCTGGATCTTCTGCTCCCATCCAACCCAGGAGAAGCTCCCTTCCTCTGCAGGGAGTTCAGGGAGGGAGCGGTAGTGTCCTCCCGGTAGCGTGGGGAAGTAATAAATGCTGCTGGTGGAGGAGAGAGAGATACTGATAGAGGAGAAGCTGTGATTGCAGGCCTCCGCAGTGGGACCAGGGGGGAATGGAGACTGCTGTCTCATTGAGTGATATCCCTGTCTCAACAGTAAATAAATAATGCAGCCTGCAGAGTTCACCCTGCCTCCTCCAGTGAGTTGTAAATGCATTAGCTGTTTTATATTCTTTTGTCTTGGGAAAATGGTTGGGAGGGAGGCAGGGAAAAGGGAAAAAACTGTACAACCAAACAACAGGAACGATATCAACTCACGTTACACCTCTTCACATGATCCAACTCTCCTCCCAGAGCTCGCTTTGGTATAGTCCCCTGATCACTTGGATGAATAGTAATAAAACAGTGAGAGAAAAAGGTGTGTAATGCACATGCGTACCGAGATTTAGAGCTACTAAAACCTTGAGGCAAATCGATTGCCAATGGATATGAGTGGATTTGAAAATCACTTGACATCAACATGAAATCAAATCAGTTTCTGGTACTTTTAGTATTATTTACATTCAATCTAAACTTGTTCTGCCCTGAAATGATTTTCTTGTTTGGGTGATGGTTTGGGACGGTTCATGCAAAAAATGCAAATTCTGTCATTTGCCAACCTTCGTGTCATTCTAAACCTGTGTGACTTCTGCAGAACGCATGCTTAGGCCCATACAATGAAAGTCAATGGGGTCCAATCTTGTTGTTTTGGACCCCATTGACTTTTATTGTATGTTCAAAATATATCTTCTTTTGTTTTCCTCTCAGGTTGTCACATCAAGACCACTTTTTAGTTAAAATCAAGTACTGCAAACGCCGTTTTATGTTGACATTGAACAAAAGGAATTAAAAAGGTGTACAGGCTTTGGCGTTTCATTGGTCCTAATTATGGCTTGCAGATATTTATTTCTTTAGACGTTATGAATGCATTCATTCAGCTGCATGTTGTTACACATATTGCCTTTCGTCTAGTCTGAATGTTATTTCCAGTGTGAATTCCATTGCAAGTTTCTGTCAAGCAACTCTGATTGACAGCAGGGACCAGTGCTGACTGGCGTCAAGCAGGCCAGACCTGCGACAACTTCTGCATCTGCGAAGGAGACAATTTTATTTGCGTAGCATCCGTTTGCATACGCTTCTGCAAAAGCGTGGCACAGCTTGGCATAAACACTCGGGGGGGAAGAGCCTATAGGAGTTAATGATAGTAGCAGTCACATACGGCAGCATCAGGCTTGTGTACGCGTGACAGCTTTACTGCCGTACAGTCATCCGCCGCGCCACGACACGGCGAGGATGTTTCTGCCGCTGCCAACGCTCCTCTCTCGCCTGCCAGAGCCTTCAATCTCCTCGCCGCTCTCTGTATCACATACTAACTCTCTCACTCTGTCTTCCCCCATCAGCACCACCGCCTCCCACCGAGAAAAACAGCAACCAGTCATCATCCGCGCCTGCATATATACGCAAACAAATACAGACACCCTCGCACATACACGCACGTTGAACGATTAATTTGGTTTTAAAGGGCAGGTACGGGTATGGAAGCTGCATTTGAACTAACCAGCTGCCCCCAAACACACCCGCGCCGTTCATTTGAATGGTCGCAGCTTGTTATACTTTAAGCAGAGGATCACTGGCAGATCCCCATGGCTAGTCTACAGTGCAGGAGTGGCCAGACGTGGCTAACCCATATGGCTATGGAAATCCATATGCTGCTGGTGCTAGGACTCTCCCTCCAGGGCTGTGCGGGAAGGTAAACCCCCCCCCCCCCCCCCCCCCCCCAAAATTCTGTAAGCCATTGTTCCAACAATCTGCCGTCACCTCTGTCGTCCCCACACCTCAAGCGAAACGATCAATGAGCTAATGGTTGCTAATTATTTTAGCCTCTGATCACCCTCCCCTTTACGTCGGTTTGATGTCATTTCCCTTTAAATCCATTCGTTTGCCAGCTACTGTTCTACATAACGAATAGTTATTTAAATAGTTATTTCATTATTTTGCTCTACAAATCGTGCAGTTTGTTGAAAAAAAATGTGTTTTTACTCTTCTAATCAATTTAGGATTTTCATCTGGCAGACAAAAATCATGAGAAGAATGCCTTAAACTTATGTTAGAGCTATATCTAGGGTCCAGAATATTATAGAGATGTTGAGACAATATGCAGCTACCCAGCAAATACTTAATGCAATTTAAAACATTTGGCAGTGCACTAAAAATTGAAATATTTTCGTTTGGGCATTCGTTTGTCGGCTACCATTCTACTTAATTAATATTTAGTTGAAATGAGAAACTGTCATCTGATTAACACAGTTTGTGCAACAAACCATGGAGTTTGAGAAAAGGTGCGCTTTCACGTTTCTAAACGATTGCACTTTCGTCTGGCGGACGAATCCCTTAGATTTACATTAGAGCTGTATCTAGGGACTAGGATATCAAAAAAGTGTGGAGTTTTGTGACTTTTTTGACTTGAGACAATACTTAGCCACCTAGCAACCATTTAGTAATGTAATTAATAAAGCAATAAGAATACTCCGCTTTGCGTCGTACCTAACAACGCCCCTTAGCTGTTATAAATTCACTGTAAACCACGGCTTCACGGGGCTTATTGCTTTTATAAAACGGCTATTCCATATACGTAGTTAAGTTTCACAAAATAAAACGGAGCAAATAAAGTGTAATGATATTAATAAAAACAGTATTCTTCCACCAAACAATGTAGTTCCTCAGAAACAGTTGTGGTTGCAACACACAAAGTAAGCAAAGGTGTATGTTTGTAGAGTAATTTACAACAGCTCCGAACACGGCTCAACCAATCAGAATCAAGGACCGGAATTATCTGTTTTATAAAAAGAATTTAATAATGCATTCGTTTGCTCATTTGTTTGCCAGCTACTTTTCTGCTTCATGAATATTTATTTCAAACAGAGCCATTTGATCTGACTAACAGTTTGTACTACCAACCATGCAATTTGTTGAGAAAAGGTGCACATTTACTTTTCTAATCAATTGCACTTATGGTTTTCGTCTGGCAGAAAATCTGTTCGACTTACATTAGAGCTGTATCTAGGGACAAGAATATCTCAGAGACATGGAGTATATTATGTCACATAATCCTCTTTATCACATCATAAGCCTTAATTATGGCTTATCTTTGACTTATGTTGAACTAATGTGTTGAACTAATATCAGTTAGTGAACAGTTATGTAATTTGAATGGCTCTTAATGTCTTTTGTTTTGTTTCATTCTAGGAGGTCCTGCAGACAGTGCCTAAGTTCTGCTTCCCATTTGACGTTGAAAGGTAGGACGTCCTTCATGCTTCTGGAAAACAAGTTAATCGATGTGTGAATTGGGAAAATGAGGATGTTTGTTTATCCAACACGCATTCACACACACACACACACACACACACACACACACACACACACACACACACACACACACACACACACACACAAGAGACTGGCGTAAATGACTCACAGGGTGGAGCCGCACACCTCCTTTGCTTCTACTTCTGTTTCTAATGTCAGACCTTTCACTGAGAGGTCCATAGAAATAAAGCACCTTTATAGGAATGAAGATCTCCGGCCCCAGTAAACAATGTTTGTTTGCTTGTCTGTCCTAACTGGCATGATGGTAGACACGTCTCCTGAATAAATGTGTTCTTCTCACAGCGGTGTGTGTGTGTGTGTTGGCTTGTTTGCTCTTGGAAATGAAAAATGGAAAGCTCTGTTGTATAGTTTATGTGCTGTGTGAGAAGTTCACTTCCTTCCAGCTGAAGCTTTGTTGCTGCCATCTAGTGGAGATCAACTACATTGTCACCCTTGGTTCAGTTCCAAACCTTAAATGGAATGTGAATAAATGAAATTAGTGAATGCATGGAATAGCTTTTCTGATATTTTCCAGAATTTTTACTCGGATACAAGTAAATTTGGCTTTTGAATGAATGTGAAAATGCTCAAAGTTACAGTCAACGTCTAACACAGTGTCTCCATCAAATATAATTGAAGTTTATACTTTAATAAAAAAGATTAATTACATTTCCCCCCCTATCTGTTTGGTGGGCTGCAGAGTGTCCCAGACTCAGGTGGGCCAGAACTTCACATTTGTGCTCACAGACATTGAGAGCAAGCAGAGGTTTGGTTTCTGTCGGCTGACATCCGGCTGCAGGGTCTGCATCTGCTTGCTCAGGTAAGAGATCTTTATTGATGCTTTTTATTCATTTATTTATTATTGAAGTGAATAATGTGCCAATTTGCGATCATATTTTCATCTGCATGAATAATGGGAGATTTCACTCTCATAATACACTATTAATATATCACAGATAGATAGAACGTTTGATGGATTGAAGGGACATTTCTTGAGAAATGTCATTCTTCCTGTTTTAAGGAAACAAATTCCAGATCAGTTCTAGATTCTGAAATCAAGGGATTTGAAGCAAACAATACTTCACTTTAATGAAATAATAATAAACACGGACAGAAATGCTCTTTTTGTTTCTTTTTTAGATCATAATATATGATGGCAAATGCTTTCATATTTTCAGTCTGAGCTGTTCCACTGAGAATGGAAAGCTGGAGATTGAAGACTGTGTGTTACATAAACGATAAACCAATGTATTTAATAATACAAATGCATTTAGTAATTCAGAGCAGCTCAACTGGGACATATCACATTTTTTTTCCCTCTCCGTCTACATGGTATTGATGGACAATCGCAGGTTTATCATTGTCATGATGAGCTCCTGTCGAGATCACTCCTCCTCCCACCCCGGCCAGGATGGCCTTTGTGTGTGTGTGTGTGTGTGTGTGTGTGTATTTCTCTCGTTCTCTCCCCTCGTTATTCAGGCACAGAGGCATGCCGGAGACGGTTCACCAATAATTATGCATGAAGCCCTGCTGCCAATTAGCAAGATTCTCCCCTGTCCCTTTCACTGAGTTTTACATGCTAATTCATTTGACATATGATGTATAAAATTCATTATGCATTCTGAGTAGTTTGCATGACTTCCTTCATTCATAATAAGCAATGCATTCAAAGTTTATTTCCTTTTTTTTTTTTTCTTTAAGACCTTAGACTTCTTTTGTTTATGTCATCTATTTGGAAAGAACATGGTCAAATGTAACAAAAGACCCAAAGAAAGTAGTGTTTTTCTCCCACCTTCTGCAGAAGGATCAGAAAATTTATTTATAAAAAAAAAAAAAAAAAAAAGTATATACGTATTTATGTATATATATATGTGTATATATATGTGTATATATATATATGTATGTATGTATATATATATGATGTTTTATATAAAATACTAAATGTTACATTATAATATATAATTTTTAGATCTTCTAGGAACATTTTAGTTTTTTTTGTAAGGGGAGACTTTTTTCTTATTCACACACATTTACACTCTACCAGAATATAAAAGAAGAATAATTAAAACAGTTTGTGTCCTTGTGATTGTTGAAGTGCTGGGACCCTAAAATTGTCACCTAAGCTTACACGAGGAAGTTGGCTAATGAGAGGGACAGTTTTATATGGACAGCCCTTTGTAGCTTTGCAGGTTTAGCCCAGGCCAAATAGGCCAGGGTTCCTTCAGGCCAAACCACTTCAAAAACACAAGCGTTCCGTTTTACCCCACCCTCTCCGCCCATCCGGCCTTCGGACATATGCGAGACCCCAGATGAAATAGACCCCCTCTCTCGCACGCTCTCTCGCCCGTTTTATTTGATGGCTGGGACCCGACTTGGCGTCTTCCTCAGACAGCAGAGGTTTTCTTCAGTTAGTGGCCAGTTAGCGATATTTCTTTCCTTCTGCTGAACATAAAACTCAGGAAAAGTCCGGGTGTAATCGTATCTCATCCTGGGAAGGATACAAGGTGCAAGCTGACTTGCTTTTAAAGCTCCTAAATACCTCTAGTGATTTAGGATGCATGTTTAAGGGCCGATTAGATCATACAAGCGTAAAAGGCTGTGCATGGAGTTTAATACTTCAAAATAAATGCATAATATGACTTTAAACGGATTTATAGAGGAATTGTGAAGTTTGAGACCACTAGTGAATTTTTTTTTTCTAAATCAGTCAAACATTTTATAATTTTTTTTTATGTTAAAAATTATATAATCAGCATAACAGTTTTAAAATGAACAATTTTATGATTCCCCCCCCCCCTTTTACTTTAAAGACAGCAGCACTTTTCACTTTGATTAGTGACCAGGAAATAGTGAAGAATGTTGAATATATAATTAATTTTGTTATATTTTTACAACACAATGTGCTTTCTTTTTACATTAAAAAAAATATATTTCCAGGTTTTAAATCTAAAAATAGAAACCCAAGAGCTGTCTTGACAAAAGTTATGTTTCGGCTCAGAAGTAGTACTCAAGTAGTTCGCACTTAATTCTCGAAAACACAAATAAATCTTTTCTAATCATGTCATGACCTACGCATTCTCTCATTCACTGGTGGTCAGTTTCTTCTGTCTTTTTTTCCCTTCTGGCTATCAAACCATTTACTAGAGCTTATCTGATGCTTCTGGCTGTGGAAGCAAGGAGCTCAAGTTTGTTAGGGATTGCCAGTAAGCCACAGATAAGTTGGTTTACTCTCCGAATACACACGGCGCTAGAGAACCTAAAAGGGCCGTTGAGATTGGCTCGTCTCAGCACAGTTCAGCATGATGAATGTTCCTCTATCGGAGGATTTGCCGAATACAAACACATTTTTACTTACTAGCTGTGAAGAGATTGGGCTGGGGTGCCGTGCTCCCCTTAGCCTATTTATAAAAAGTTAAAACAAGAAGAAAAATTGTGTGCTTCTGCTTTATGACTTAAAATTAAAAATGAATCCAGGATTTCGCAAAAGGTATTCCTCCCTGGATGTCTTTATAAACGCAAGCCTGCTGCTTATAGAGCAGTGATTTATTTGACTTTAAAACAAAAGATTTACATGCTCTCATTTAAGAGTATAATGAGTGTTTGTGCTCTCCAAGGCCTGCCGTGCATTTCTGACAAGAAGAGGCTCCCGTTTAAATCCCCTTCACATGTGAAAAATGAAGGATTAGCATCCAGGAGCCTCACATTTTAAACAAAGAGCGAGCGAGAGAGAGAGATAGATAGATAATGATTTTTCTTTGTTGTGCAATGCAGCTTGAGCAAGGTGTCGGTCGATTGCGATATTTCAAACAACACGTCATGCTTACCAAAACACAATATTTTTTTCTCTCATCCGTCTAGAAATTTGCATAGACACGTTTAATTTGGAATAGTGTGACCTGGTTTGCGAACGTCGTCGCGCACGTCAAAATATTGGCATGTTAAGAGATGATTGTTTTAGGTTAATGGTCACCCAGACTTGAACGTCTCATGCTTGAGCGCACGTCCCTGGGAACGCCGTGCCACTGGCCCCTTACGGATTCGGCAATATGAAAATTTGCATTAGATACACTTAGTTGTGTTTCTTGTTGTCTGTTAATTCCAGTCTGCTAGAGAGCTCGCTGACCCATGGAAGGATAAAAGGGGGGGGGACTCGTGCTTTATGGTTCAACTGGGATCAGACGATAAGCTTGTTCTTCTTTCTTCAAAATTACCGCATCTATTAATTCAAGCTTCTTCTTTTGCCAATTAAAGTAATCAAGCATTAGCTTCAAACATAAGTCAAAGTTTTGCGTTTGAAAAGAATAGCTGATGTAATCGCTCTCGGTTAAGTGTGAGATTTCAGACCGAGTCGAAATGCATGTTGTAATCACGCCTACATACCAGGAAAGAAAAAGTCAGAGCCCGCTAGCAGGCCGCGTTTTTTCACTAGATTGCATAACAAAATAAATGGTGTGTGTTCTTACAACCTTCAAGCCAAAACAACACATTGGCCGTGTTCCATCTTTGAAGGCCTGTCAACTTTGCCAAGATTCTGTCAGGCGGCAACGCACACAATGTTGCAGATACTCTTGGCTAGTCATTGTGTGATTAGTTAATACACATTGATAAGGTGTGAATTATTTTTTGTACTCCTGCTAGGAAATTAATTTTAGGGAGAAAAAAGAAAACGGTGACTAGGGGTGGGTGATATGGCAAAAAAATATCATATCACGGTTTTTTTTTTTAGAAATATCACGATTTTATCACGATTAATTGTCATGTTGGTTTTACTATTTTGCAAGATTTTGCAAGCAAATTTCCCTGTTATGAAGACAAAGCCTTTCAAGGTAACAAAAAAAAAAAAAGAATGGCGGATATTTAGGCCGAAGTGGGCGAAAATAAAAAATATTTGTCATTATTTTATCTTTGGTATTAAAAATAAGAACAACGATACACATTACAAATATACATAATACACAAATAAAACAAACAATGCTTTATTTTCAGGTACAATGTATTTAGCAGGAGCGTTTAAGAAACTGAATGAACAAATATAAAAACAAAACACTATATAGATTGATTCCTATTAAAGCAACTGCATTAAATTTTTTCAGTCAAGAATAGTGAGTGATTTTTCTGTGCATTTTTGTTGTTTTGTTAAAATTAAAGGAATAGTTCACCCAGAAAAAATCTGTCATCTGTCTATTAATTCTGTCATAGTGCTTTATTTTTATACGATCATTTACTCACTCAAAAGTTGTTTTAAACCTGAATGAGTTTCTTTCTTCTGCTGAACATAGCTTTGAGGAATGTTGAAAACCAAACTGTTGCTTGTTCACAGTGACTTCCATAGTATTTTTTTCCCACTATCAAAGTAAGTGTAGACCAGCAACTGTTTGGTTACCCACATTCTTTAAAATTTCTTCTTTTGTGTTCAGCACAAGAAATAAATTAATACAGGTTTGGGACAACATGTGAGTGAGTAAAATTTTTAGGGTGAACTATCCCTTTAATGATAGTCGGCAGCATGTTTAGTACTGTCCCTTTAAGACCTGCATGCATCCATTTCTCTCAACTGTTTACTTTCATTTTAGACATAACCAGCTGAGTCTATATGTAAACCTTGTGTGTTTTGACAGTATCAGCGCAAAAGATAACTTAGTTCAGTAATCAGGCGCTGTTTGACAAGCTTTTTAGTGTGCGCGCTTCAGGTGTACACAGCGCTCAGAAAAAGCGCATGTCAGAACAGCGTGCAAATGAAATGTTTAACCAGTAAGGCTTTAAAGCAGATGCAAATAATGTAACGTTACTTTTGTGATTGCAAATAAGTGCAATGTCCTGTGAGAGTAACTCTGTCATCGAGTTCAAATTAGATGTGAATGTATGTCGCGTTGTACAGTATATATTGAGATAGAGGTGCCAGAACTGCAGCTGATATAGCACGATAATATGATTTTTTTTCAAAAGCAGATCATGGAGACATTTTTTTCGTCCACGATCAAAAATCGTCATATCGCACACCCCTAACGGTGTCATATGTAGTACGACGATGAGGTTCAGGTTGTGCATCTGGGCGCAGCATGCTTATAAACCATCCCATCCCTGGTTTATTACAGGCTACAGTGGACCACTCGTGTTTTTGTTGAAGAAACCAAATACTTTTATATAGCCTGCTCTGTGGCTGGAATGTTTAAAATGCAAGTGTCAGCGAGTACAAAGAATGTGATAATAAGGTTCACTGTAGTCAAAAATGCTCTAAAGCCCACCAGGTTAATAGTCAAGGTGAGGAAGAATCGGCTGTGGTGGATTTGAGAAAATGATATTCCTCTTTTGAATGAGGCTACCATGTTTTTTTATAGCTTTTTCCTTGTGAAGTGTTCTAATAAATAATTGTTCAATGCATTTTTCTTCTCTTTCTTTTGACAGTTATATCCCATGGTTTGAGATTTATTATAAGCTGCTAAATACCCTTGCAGACTACTTATCAAAACACCAGGTAAGTTAAGGGAGTTGTCTTCACATGGAAAAAAATGAGCACAATTACAATACACAAGAATACAAAGATTTACACAGAAATTTGCATTAAATCTTGTCATTTAAAACGATAATGTGATCATTTATTTAATAATGGATTTATGAACAATTTTACACTATCACATTTCATGCACACTTTTTTTTTAAACACCAGCTAAGTTAAAGTTGCACATTTCCGAAAACGGTAAAAAAGTTAAATTATAACTTTTAATGCAAATTTAAATATATATATATGTGTGTGTGTGTATGTGTGTGTGTGTGTATATATATGTATGTATATATGACATTCAAAATTTTCTTCCAAAATGAGCATTTTTATCAGGCCCCTGTGTGTGTAGATTCAGTATTTTCACTTTAATGGCAATTAATATGTTATTTTCATTGCTATTAAATTGAAATAACTGTAAATAAAACACAGGAGCCTGATAAAAATGCTCATTTTAGAAGAAAATTTCAGACGGCACTTAGAGGCTTTTACATCTGAACTCTTCATATGTTCTTGCGGCACGCATCTCGTTGTGTTGGTCGTGGAGGCGCTGTGTGATCACAGTGTGATGAGGCCGAGGAGGAGGAGGGTTGAGTTTGCGGTGAGCAGCAGCAGATCTCTCCTCTCTCCGCCGGGGAAACAACAGTGTGTAGCGACAGCAGGCGGCACCACGGCACTCTCATGGCTGAAGAGGCCAAAAAACTGGCAGCTTATGCTGCTGTGGACAACCACATACAGGTGAAATTGTGTATTTACCTTAGTTGCGAGTGACTTATATATATATATATATATATATATATTAAGAACTGCATTAAGTATTAAGTACCCTTTCAGACTTTTTAAAACAAGTTGAAGTTGCACATTTCTCACATGGATTTGTGATTTACACAGAAATGTGAGATAAGTGAAGAGAAGTCTTCAACTTCACATGGAAAAAATGAGCAAAATGACATCATAATTTATTAAATGTTTACACAAATTAATAAGTACATTAAATGTCACCCTTTTTGTCAAATGAATGCACATTTTTAAATACTCATGCAGATGAAAAAGTTAGGCAAGTTAAGAGTTCAAATTTGAATACGTAAACAGATCAAACCGTATCTGTAATAACTGTAAATATTTGTAACTGTAAAAAAAAAGTTTTCTCTGTGAGGTCACTGGTTGATTGCACCACTCGGAGACCCCCTATTGAGCAAACGACTAATGTCACTAATAGCATCGAAATTACCCACGTTCCTGCCATCTAGCTTGTGAGCCAAAAGTGCCACTGCAAAGCAAAGCTTGAGTGTTTTGTTTTGTGTAAAGACAAAGGAAAAAGAAAAACGTCATCTATAATCCATCTCAGCGAAGCAGGCACAGTTGGTTGGTTGCGCTTTGCTTTGCAGTGTTTGTTGACATTTAACAGACCGAGCATCGAACAGGAAGTTAGTCCTTATGATATACGGGAAAACAAATTGTCAGGAAATGCACTGTGCCAAATCGTGTTTTTTTTTTTTTTTTTCTTTCTGAAAGTTTCACAGCAGTAGGAGACGAAGAAAAGTTTGAATTAGGAAAAGGGGTTGGAAATATTAAGCTTACATCAAATGAAAAGCAGAGTCTGTGTGGAGCCAGCGTCTAACTGAAGCGCTCTGAGTTTCTCTATCAGTCTGTTATCATTCAGTTATGTGTAACGGAGCCGCTGAAAGAGAAGCGAGGAAGTCCAAGCCTCCTCTACACAAACAAATCACGGGCTGAGTACACTGGGAGTCACAGGGGTCGGGAATTAAGCCGTTAGATCCTCAGTGTCATCGACCCGTTCCATTTACCAAAAGTATGCCTTTTAGTTTCCCCTCATTCTTCACGTTTCATGTTGTTCATTATGTGAAGTACACTCTCTGTATGATTTTTATTTAAGGCATTTAGCAGATGCTTATTCAGTGCAACTTTCAAAGTCGTTTAGCTTCATTTATGAGACTGTAGCGGTCAACAGATGGTAAAACTGCAATTCAGAAAGTTTTCTTTCGAGAAAAGAAGTGCTACTTGATACAAATAAACACAGTACACATTATACAAACACATAAAAATGACAAATAAAAAGCCTGTAGAAAATGTTTCTAAGCAGTAGACACAGTGTATTGTTTAACAGTGCAATAATTTATCTACAAATGACTTTGCAAACAATCAGCACCAAAATTTGCATTAAATGCGAAAATTATGACGATGTCAGAAATTATTTTTGGGGGGGTACTATTTAAACAGGCATTGGCATTAAATGCAAATATTTATATTAGAAAGAACATTTTTACAAATTATTTGCATTGAAATTTGCGCACAATTCAGCAATTTATGTACGATTTTTATTTGAATTTGATTTGTATCTGAGAATTTTATATGAATAGTTTTTGCATACAGTTTAAACCGAAATTTGCGTGAAATGCGACAATTAACGTTTTGTACCGGTAGTTTATACCAAAATGTGAATTAAATGTGACAATTTCTTTAAAAATGAGCCTTTTTCATGAAATGCGAGCACAACAAATGTGTCTAAATAATTAATAAAACTATTTTTAAGTAAATTGTTGCATTAAATTTTGTGCATAGATTTAGATAAGAATGACCTTCTGAACAATTAAAAAAATGTGTTCCCAGTGCTTTTTACAAACTGTTTAGATAGACATTTACATTGAATGTCAATATAAGAATGTCTTTGCTAATGTTTTAAGAATGAAACCTTTTTAAAAGAATAATGTTTTAAAATAATAATAATGATAATATGTATTTATGTATGTATGTATTTATTTATTTATTTGCCTGTGTTTGGCAGCAGAGTTAATGTAGTTAACTAAATACAAGAAAACAAGAAAAACATTTTTTGTTACTTGAAATAAAAAAAATTAAATTAAATAAAATATAAAAACGTATTTACGCTCATTACGGCAAAATTTCTCTTTTTAATTTAGTTTAACTTGATGTACTAAAATAACTGAAGCTGAAATAAAAACTAAAAATGAACAAAAGCTTATGTAGACTTACAAAAAAAATACTAATAATAACAAAAATAAATAAATAAAAAATGGCTAAAATTTTAATGAAAATGGAAAATATACCAATAAAAACTGATTACAAATATTAATAAAAAAAAAAACATTTTACTATTTTTTTTGTTCCCCTTACAATCTGTCAAAAAAACTAAAAAAACTAAACTCTAATACGCATAAATGAATTGTTTGCGCGAGTAAGCATGATCGGGTTGTATTCTGTCATTGCATTCCACGTGAGGCGGCATTGACTGACGAGGAAGGACAAGAGCGCTGAAGGTTTATGGTGAGGGTAAATGAAGTGTTTCCTCAGGCTGTGTTACTGACCATGCGTGTGAGCATCCAGGCTCTCGTGACAGCGGCTCATGCACACACACACACATACATACAAACACACGGCCATACATGCTGCAAGCTCTGGCCACACAGCTAATCTGGGAACTTGCATATAAGGAAAGGGCAATCTAAATATGTGCCTAACTATTCGATGTCAGACCGTGTTTTAACAGCAACGGCATCTCTATTCTCCAGCAAGTTTGAGAGGGTAAATTGCACTCTTGTCATAAAAGCTCGTAAAAGCTCAGCGTTATAATCCTGAGGCCTGTTTTGTGGCAAAGCTTTTCTCCAATGGCTTCTTAAAACCGCCCGCTCTGAGCAAGGACCTTTGGTTAATTACGAACAGCCAATGTTCGCCATAAATCATCCCCGGAATAATAAGCGTCTGCCGCAGCCTAGCTTACCGTCTCTTAACCTCAGGATCGCTCGTTAAATGTGTGTCAGTCGGATATATTTCTCTTCTGCAGACTGCTGTAGGAATACTTTACGCCGAGCGCTTTAAATCATGGAAGCGCTTTGCTGTTCCGTTGTTTTTTTTTCACGCTCCTTTGGTTGTTTTTTTTTTTCATTTGTTAGTTTTTCATATTTGTCTTTTTTGTCCTCACAGGAAAACGACTTGAACGACATGTTGGAAACGCTGCACATCCGCCCTGTGCCAAAGCCGAATACGCCAGTGAATATGAGTGTGGTAGGTGCTGGGGAGGGCTGACTCTTTGTTTAGAAACAGAAGTGGGACCGCCAGACTCTCGCTCTGATAGCAGACGCTGGACCGCAATAGTGTAGATTCAACAACTATCTATCTATCTATCTATCTATCTATCTATCTATCTATCTATCGTTCTATCGTTCTATCGTTCTATCTGTCTGTCTGTCTATCTATCATTCTATCGTTATAACTATCGTTCTATCTATCTGTCTGTCTGTCTATCGTATCATTCTATCGTTATATCTATCTATCTATCTATCTATCTATCTATCGTTCTATCGTTCTATCGTTCTATCTGTCTGTCTGTCTATCTATCATTCTATCGTTATAACTATCATTCTATCTATCTGTCTGTCTGTCTATCGTATCATTCTATCGTTATATCTATCTATCTATCTGTCTATCTGTCTGTCTGTCTGTCTGTCTACCGTATCTATCATTGTTCTGTCATCCTATCTATTAATCATTTTATTTATCATTCTTTTTATTAATCGTTCTTTCATTGTTTCAATCCATCTGACATTCTATTGTTTCTTTCAGTCTGTCATTCTATCTATTGTTCTTTCACTCTGTCTCATTCCATCCATCTTTCCATTCATCTGTCAATATTTTGCAGTCTATGTCAGTTTTTTTTTACAGTCTGTCTATGTGTATGTCTGTCTGTCTGATCGCTCCATCTAATCCATCTATATTCTTTCCTTCATTTTTGCAAGAGCAACCACTTACATTTTGCCAATGGGCAAGTAGTGCAGGATCCAGGAAGCAGACAGTCGGTGAGTGGAGAGTGAGTGTGCTGAAGGGAGAGGGTTGAAAAGAGAGAGAGAGAACGGGGCACTTCTGAAATTTGGAGCCGCTGCCCTAATCACATGGGAGACAGCTCTCCAATTTTGCCAAATAAACCAGCTCTATTCTTTTTTAAAATTATGGCAAAAACCCATCCTGGGTCTTGTTGTCAGTTTTTTTTTCTTTTCTGGAAAACAATCAAACTTGCTAAATGATTCATGCTCTTCCACACTGCTGTATTCTCTTTTCAAATATCAAAAGTGTTTTTGAATTAAAAGCAAAAGGCAATTATGCTCAAGAAATCTCCTTGATGCTCTGCCCATTAGCCTACATTTATCTTTTTATTTAAATATGGATAAAAAAAATAAACACTGCACCCTTGAATATCTGCTCAAGAACATTGCATTAAAACATCATCCAGTGTTTTTTTTTTTCAAGCTGTAATATTTTAATATCACTCTTTAATATCATGTTCTGACTATAATTCTATAATGTTCTTATTGGAATTTTTTACAATATTCCTATTTTTTATATTTTTGTTCTTTACATTCACTAGATGTCATATAGTTATATATTAACATAAATTAATTAATATAATTAAACATTAAAAAAACTCTTTTTTTATAAAACTAGTTATTGATATATAGTTAAAATGTTATATGTTTTATATTCACGTAAAAAGCATATATTGAATAAATCTAAAACATATTTATTTTTCAAGCTACATTAAAGTAAGTTGACTCTAATGAACTTGACATCACTAGTTATAAAGCTTGCTGTTACTCCGGATTAGTTATCAACAATTTGCCCTTAGCTTGTAATCTAAAAGCTCATCAGGTCATCCGAAGGGGTTTCTTGGAATTGTCTGTACCGTCTCCCAGCAGGTGGTGGGTTCACTAATCACCGTCATGTTCTGCTTTAACTTCTCTGAAGTTAAAATGATTGGCAACATGAAATGTTTGTTCGCTATTGGAATTTGGGAAGAGGGTCTTGGTGATAGGAGAGGTTTCCATCAACGCTGTGTGGGCAGTAATGTTTAAATCGGATGTGTGTGTGTGGGTGGGTGTGGTGTGTGTGTTGGTTAGAGTGGTGTTGGGTGTAGGGTCTGGGATTCTGATCACACTACAGGGAGCAGCAGACAGAGCGCGGTGATAACAGGCACTCTGATAATGTGTGATTTTTATAAACACTGCTGCAAAGTGCTGGCCACCGCCAGCTGGAACTGCAGTCCACGACACGGAGGGCAATCAGCTGCTCGGTATGGGAAAATAAACACATGTCAGCACATGAAGAAGAGAACTTGGTCAATCTGCTTTATTGATATCTTCAAACTGTTTATATTTGTATGATTATAGCAAAAGCACTCTGGACACACATAGAGTGCAGATAAATTGTTTCTGACATTGCACAGCCCTTGGTTTGATTGCTGGAGTCGTGTGATCACGGCATCCAAGATGAATATTTGAAAGCATCTTTGAGTATTAAAGGATGCTAGTCACACTTTTGTGTAACATACGCAAAGGCAGCAAAAGTTGAACCTATGCGTGGAGCAACAGATGGATACTCTTTACGCATGACGAATCGCAACCCAGCCTTGGGAAAAAGCAGAGCGCGCCACACAGGCAAACAAAAGTGCTAAAGTTAGCAGGCAGCGTGGGATCTTTGCTTCGGAGCCTCTTTGATCCAGACATTAAACTTGCTCGCCTGTTCAAATGTAAGCCTGGCAGACCCCTCTGATACTGTCAGAACAGAGCAGTTGGCTTTTGTACCTTAATAAAGAGATTCTCTCCGATGCAGGGAGCCTCCGCCGGTAGTGTCCACAGGGGATCGGCGTTTGTTGACTTCATGTATCCGTATCTGTTATCTGTATGTATGATGTTAACAAGCGCAGACATAGTTCAGGCCGATCACAGTTTATTTATTGGTTGTTGAACAAGACAGTATGTTGGAGGTTCTATAAACACTAAATTCTGGAAGGTTGTGTAATGGTGACCTTATCTTCATATTTTCTTGTCTGTTTTCTGCAGCATTCATACTTCATAGCTCCTGATATTAATGGACTCCCCACCATACCTGAAAGTGTGAGTATGTTAAACCCAGTCACAAATACAGAGGGCCCAAATTTAAGCCACACTTAATGTATGAGTGTCATTGCACTACATATCAGATCAAGTGACTATTAGTAAAACAAAGCATGAAACAAAACAAAATCTAAAACAAAACATTAAAAACATGAAACAATACAAAATATTAAATAAAACATTAAAAGCATAAAACATGAAGCAAAACAAAATATAAAACAAAAGATTAAGAAACATACAGCATACAAACAGAACATTAAAACAATACATTAAACAAAACAAAACAAATCATTAAAAACATGCAACAATACAAATTATAAAACAAAACATTGAACCATAAGATAAAACATGTAGCAAAACAAAATATCAAACAAAATATAAAAAAACATAAACATGAAACAAAATATCAAAACATAAAAAAACATGAAAAAATTAAACAAAACATGAAACAAAATATATAATGAAATTTAATAAAATATTGAATGCAATGGCGTTCAAACATTTTTAAGCGTGACTTGTGTAAATACCATAATTTCGCTAAATCAACCATATTTTTTCCTTCTAGAGAAATCTAACAGAGTACTTTGTAGCAGTGGATGTGAACAACATGTTGCACCTCTATGCCAGCATGCTGCATGAGCGACGCATCATCATTACCTCAAGCAAGCTTAGCACTGTGAGTTTCTGCTGTCATTCTCATTTACACATCAGACAGCTTTCATGTTACTTAAAATATTAATATACATTGTTTTTATACAATACATTTAAAACAAGTCTTTTGGGAACCACCAGGCTTATTTTTGTATACACAGAAATGTGTTTTTAATTTGTTTCTAATTAACATGATATGTGATGGACGTATTTATTTTTTGCTCCCAGGACTTGAAACTTTTCACACCGGTGGAAAATGCAGAATCATAGACATTATTATGTAGATCTTATTACACTTCCTGCTCTCTAGGGCTATGTATTGCCAACTTCCTCATGATATGATGCACATCATAATAAGTTGTTTAAATGACCTGCTTATCATTAATTAAACAGTAAGAAAGAAAATATTTATACAATAATCTTAAACATCTCAAAAAATACTGTACACTGATTCGGTTCTCTCTGTTTTGGCATTTTTTGGGGTGTTTCTCTGGGCTGAAGTCTGTTAGCTTTAAATTATAAGTCTTTTGGGAACCACCAGGCTTATTTTTGCATACACAGAAATGTGTTTTTAATTTGTTTCTAATTAAAACTTGAAACTTTTCACACCGGTGGAAAATGCAGAATCATAGACATTATTATGTAGATCTTATTACACTTCCTGCTCTCTAGGGCTATGTATTGCCAACTTCCTCATGATATGATGCACATCATAATAAGTTGTTTAAATGACCTGCTTTTCATTAATTAAACAGTAAGAAAGAAAATATTTATACAATAATCTTAAACATCTCAAAAAATACTGTACACTGATTCGGTTCTCTCTGTTTTGGCGTTTTTTGGGGTGTTTCTCTGGGCTGAAGTCTGTTAGCTTTAAATTATCACTTACTGGATCCCTGACTCTTTCACATATTTTCTGTCTGGCTCTTCTTGCCTGAAAATGGGAGTGGGCGCTTATCGCTCGGGGGCGGATGATGGTCCAAACTTTCACGACAGTTGGTGTAGAAGCGGCAAGTGATGTCATTCGCTCTCTATCTCTCTCCGACTCCCCCCCCCGGAGCATCTGCGACTTGTTTACATAGACAGGGTTCACTGGAAAGGTGTTACAAAGCATATCTTTATACTTCATCTGTGGAATATATCTCAGCAATGCAAAATGGTACAAATGTACTCCTAGAGATGAGTGTGAATGTGGTTTGATTGTGAAGTGAGAGTTCTGTGACTGTCACCTGATTGAGCAAATCCCAAGTTCACTGAACCAAGACAGCAAGATCCTTCTTTTTCCTTTCTGCTCAAGATAAATTTATAGGTCTATTTCAGGGCTTCTAGTGTGCTGCTCAGCAGTAAAAAATAGTTGCTGATCTTGTTAGAGTCTTTCAACTTTTGCCTTGTCATTTTTTAATGAACAGGAGTTTAATGAATTTTTGAACAAATCAGCTCAGCCTTGAGTGTCAGGATTTTTATGTGTTCTTAAAGAAAATGTTCTGGTATTTTTAATCTAATATTTTTTGGTTGCACTTTATTTTACAGTATGTGCACTTACATTTACTTACCGTGTATGTACCTAAGAAAGTACTGGGTAATATACGGTATCTATATGGCCTAAGGTTAGGTTAAAGGCTGGGACACACTAAGCCGACTTCAAAGAACTAGTGGCAACAAAAGCTGATGGTGTTTTCGCCTCGTGTTGGCAGAGTCTGGATCAAAAAGCTGTGCTTGAACACACCGCACGGACTACAGCCGACTGCAAACTAACACGTGCGTTCTGTGCTTGCGTGAGAGGAATTAGCTTGTCTGTATCAGCAGCTGTATCAGTATATTGTATAAAGATATACGAGATATATGCAGATGTACGAAATGTAAACGTATTTTGAATATCAGTTATGTTGATAACGTTCTTCATTTTGAGTGGCTCGTGTTATGAAAATATTTGCATAATCTAATGATTGGGAAAGATCATGTAACATTAGAACAGCCTTCTGTCTGTGCCACCTTCAATTACTTGCCCGTTTTCATTACTGTCGCTTTAATTCTCGGGCACTGACTCCTTCACTTAACTGAACATCCAATCAGAGTTCTCACTCACCTGATGGCCCCCGACGCTGATTCAACATGTTGAATCTGGCAAACTGCTGCCGACGTGAGCTCGATGAGTGGAACACACCAAACAAACTATCCCAACAGACGTTGGCCGACGGCCGACCATCAGCTTAGTGTGTCTCGTGTTTAAGGAGTAGGTTCAGGGTTAGTACCTAGTTTATCAACCAGAACTAGTCACTTGTAATTTGCATATGATAACGTAGTTTCTTTTAGGCATTTTTTTTTTTTTTAGATATTTATCCTCAAAAAGTGTATGTCTTAATGAAACTGAAATGAAATAACAGTTTTAGAACTGACGTCGCATTTGTTGGTTTTCATGTAAAAACACCTTTTCACAAAATATTTTTTTATGTGTTCTTTGGGATTCTTTAGAATGACATTATTGTTTTTTTGGGTCTTTTATATTCCCTTTGTATAATAGAGAAGACCCCCACTTAACACGTACCCAGCACGCTCATTACCGCTAACGGCAGCGGTTGCTCACAGGTCTTGGCAGGATCCAGCCCCGCATCCAAACAACCCGTAATCCAGCATTTGTTCTTGTGGATGACTTCTTCATTTAAAGGGGTCCTATTATGCTCTTTTACAAAGTCTTAATCTTGTTTTGGGGGTGTACTAGAACAGGCTCTCATACTAGGTTGTTCGAAAAACACATTATTTTTCACATATTTTACATTATTACAACACCTCTCTCCCCAGTCTGGCATGAATGGCTCGAATAGTTCCTGTATCAAATGAAGGCCCGCCTTCTGAAATACGAAATGTGCTGTGATTGGTTAGCTGGGCCAGTGTGTGTTGTGATTGGTTAGCTGGGCCAGTGTGTGTTGTGATTGGCAGCACTCGGCGCCTGGTCGGGAAATGTCATGCCCCTTACCATAGCCGCCTGCGAGCTTCAGTGTAAATATTGCATCAAAATCAAATCTATTTGAGCTAAGTTCGTCTGCCTTGGGAAAGCTAGCTTGTCTCCAACATAGTGATAACACTCGTTGCCTTCTCTACTGCAGCTCAACCAGGTCTCGTAACATTCGTCGGTATTTGTGATATCACAAA